AGTTCATTGAGCAGAAATTTGAGTATGTTTGGAATGCATTTCGCACCCATAAAATATAAAATGATGCTGCAGGACTGATCTGCAACTACTCCAAGTTTAATCATGGGGAGTCAAGTGATGGAATGCGTCGATCAACTCACTTACATAGGGAGATGCATCAGCACGAAGGGACTGGTTGTCAACGAAGTCTTAGCTACGATACAGATTTCTCGTCTGCTATTCGCCAACGTGCGTCATCTCTGCTGCCGACTGGTGATACACCCAACTACTTACTGAAGGACAGGAATACAGCGCTGCAGTTTGTTCTGTCCTAATATACGGATGTGAAACATAGTCGTTAGAAGATATGAAGTGCTTACAACGTTTTGATCGAACGTGTCTTCTTAGCACTGCTGGTATGTCGGGAATTCACGGTGTGAGCAATGTTGAGGTCAGGTGAAGTGTACTAGGCAAGACTAAGATGGTATAGATATGTACTGTCCACGCTAAGCCACCACCACTCTTCAAGTGCCATACTACGGGAAGTTGGATAAAATTGGAAGAGGGTTCAGGGTGGGTAGACCAAGATGTGGCACCAGTCCATGAAGTTCTTGACTGCTTGTCTGAGTTGTGCTGAGAGATGTAGACTATCCGGTTAGGGAATCAATGATTGAGGACTCTTGATGACATGGCTGAAAAACAAGCCACGGTGGCGCAGATGTATTCACCACTTGACATTTTCTGAAGCTTGAATATTCACATTAACCGTTACCTTCGGATCGTTTATTCTCTCATATAACTTTACCTACTTTGGCACCACTCTTCTTCTATCCACCTGTTCTTTTTGCTCCACTGTAAAGTGTAGGAGCTTGAGCTCATGCACCTGTGTACGAGATTCTACGTTGGTTTAACAATCAGTCAGCCAAGATTCCTTATCTTACGAGGTTTACCAATCTGGATTCGGTTTTTGCGCTCGGATAGCCAAATTGATCCTTGTCAAATACTTTGATCGTTGAATTTGACCTCATAGTGATTGATAGGGAATTAACAAACTGAAATATTCTGCCTAACTTGATAAATAGGGTCTTTTAACCTAAAAAGCTTGTTCCCAGGTGAGTTTCTAGGTTTTGAATGCTACACTTATCACAACCCATTTGGGAACCCTGAGTAACGTCTCCAAAGTACCTAGCTTGTATGACAACGTCGTAAAGATTTCGCACTCTCTTCACAGTGGTATTATTGTTATTATTACTTGTTTCACTACTACTAAGGCTGGCATTTTTCATGCTGCTTCCTATGAATTTATGGACAAATTAAAGACGATAGTTTTTGATAAGTAAGGTGTCTCCAGTGTATCTGATTTCTTGTCTCAGATGTTGTTGGTCTTGTTACTTAGACATTTTACTAAGCCTACTTTAACTACTACAGATTGTGATGCTTCTAAGCTTTAGTAATGCTTACCTATAGATACTTGTGTATAAACCTATACTTTATTTTGCTACTGTTCTGCATATCCAGCTTAGCTAGATCCCTTTCATCACTTTCGAACTCATTGGTAAAATGGGTGGCATTCACTTTTGAATTTGTGCGTAAAACAATTTTCTATATGATCGGACTCCACTATGGTAAATATGTCATTTACATATCTTAACCATGTTTTGGGAGAAAGACTAAGTGTTTTGACAGCCAATCATTCCTAACTATCCACAAATAAATATATCTACCAGGACAAGCGTTACTGGCGATCTCATAGCATCTCTGTTTGTTTATTGACACAGTTTATTCTGAAACTTAGACACTGTAGAAGTCAAGCATGACTTTATGCCGTATATGATCTCCACGACTGATACTTCAGTTCAGCTCATAATAAACACTGAGCCTATTTCTAAGTAATTTTAATAAATTAAAGACTTTAGTTACATATTAAGATGTAAGCTCCTTGAAGAAGACAGCTATGTTACACATTAAAATTTAATTATTTTCCTTACATTGCTGACTGATGACTCTGTTTATCTCATGTCTATAACGAATTAATCACTATCGACGACTGTACTTATAGGTTCACGTAAGCTTTCAAAAATTTCACCTATTCTATAAATATTTTTTGATAAAAGATTAATATTGATCAGAAAATGAATTATTTTCATCAGCAGCATATATATATATATATATATATATATATATGAAACAGAAGCAGTTGTAGGATTCAAACTAGCTACTTTTTTGAAAAGATGGAAAAATGCTTGGTAGCCGACAGTAAGAATGATGATGGTTCGGTGTTTTTTCTGAGCCTTGATATTTTGTCGTGAACATTTCATCACCAGGATTGGGGACATCTTCAGCACTAACATCTTTAAGAAGTGAAGCATATTCGAGCGTTAAACGAATGTAATGAGACGTTCATGACAAAATATTCAGGCTTGGAGAATACTAAACCACCATCGACTATCAACCTCTTGCGTTCAATACCATTTATAAAGTTCACTTTGTGAATTAATTTCAAACTTCTTGATGGAATTACCAATAATTTTTTCACTGGCTTGAATAAATTTATTTGGATTTGGATTGCTGCAGGAATACCTAATCGGAGAACTAAGATAGTATAAAGTAGAGTGATCAATAAAGCTCCTTTATAAATAACAGTTTAGTAGACAGAAGAAAAAGTAAGAATCATGTGAAATGTATCAGCTAAGAAAAGAATTGATACTGAGGTGTACGTTTAATGCACAGTTCAGATTTAATGATGTGATTGATAATCAAACGGATAGAGTCACCAGGTCCTATTCTGGCTGATATCTTCATGGCTAAGCTTATAAATGAGCCCCTTAAGGAAATAATCTCGGAACTTTATCTATATAGATGGTACATCGATGATACTTTTCTTATTTGTGACGAAACAGCTTCGGTGGAAGAGCTGCTAACACGTCTCAAGGATTGCCACCTGTCTATTAAATTCACCGTAGAAGAAGAGTTAAGTTCAACGTTCCACATTCTAGGCGTAATGTTGAAGAGAAGAGATGATGGCTAGATTCAAACGTCAGTCAATCGTAGACCAACTTAGATTGACCGGTTCACGAACTTTAATAGTTCGGTGCCTCTCAGTTGTAAAAGAAATCTCATTCACTCCCTGTGTTCCAGAATACATAAAATCTGTTGAGAGGACACGGAGGACATTAAAATGGAAACTCTTAGGACAAAACTATCGTATAACAGATACCCTAAAAGATTTATTGATAAAAACATGAAGAAGCAAACACCCCTCATCCTATTACAGTTCCTAAGAAAATCCTAACCATGAATCTGGAATTCAAAGGAGACACCATAGCTGAAGTGCTTAAAAACCGTCTGTCAGAATGTATCAATGGTAGCTTTTATGTTGCTAGACTGAGAGTGATTTTCTCCAGCCGCCTTCTGATTAGACAATGTATGAAGGAGAGGCTACCACCAATTCACAGGCTCCTGTGGAGCTGAAAAAGTTGGGAGTTGTAAGCGGGTCCTCCGAAATGCAATGCTGAACATCACCCAGTTTGGCTTGCCAAAGGCAAGAGAAGGAAAACAACTTTTTTTATATGTGAACACCTAGTAGAGTTAGGCCACTCAATTCCCCGAGATTCGACCCTTAAGGTAATTTACAAAGTTGAATTGAAGTACTCCAAAGGTCTGTATTTCTACCACTTATGTATAGCTGAAGTTAAAAGCTATATATGAACAAAAACGGAAACTTTACATTCAGAAACATTTTGTGAAACCACTTTTTCTGTCTTGGCCTGAACAATTCATTTTGTTGATTTTTTCAATTTCATTTCACTTTGGTATATTTCTCTTTTATTATCATCATTATCACCAATTTTTCACTTCATTGACAATATTGACCCATATTTCACTATTTAATATCAATTCATTCCTTATTCACTGACTCATTTGCATGTTTCAGCTTAATTATCACCGTTTTACAATTCTTTGACAACACTTGTCTCTTATGTCACCACTTGTTATCATTTCATTGTTTATTCAGTGACCCATTTTCTATTTCTTCCACATGAACAAATCTCACCATTAACACTATTTGTGTACTTTGTATATTGACTGAGTAACTTTTTAGTGCAATTATCTGTCATTTTACCGATTATTAATACGACTGTATAGCTTATCAGTTAAGTTGTTGAAAAGAAATATTTCTTCTTAGCTGATACATTTTCTTCTTATTCATAAATAAGTGGGTATATTTCGTCAATGATCTGACAGCCGAGTCTTTCACTTAGTCGGCAATGTAAAGACTTTGGACTGTAGACATACAGTTTGAAAGTTTCTTGTAGTTATCTGGACTACATTTAAACTAGTTACCACATGCTTACAAGTAAAGGATTCAAATTTTAATCAAAATGTTGCAATTATGATGATTTTCAGGATGAGAAATATTTAGTCCTGCCGAAGATTATCTTGTTCTAAAATAACAGATCTTCATTTTGTGGATTCACCACTAAAAATGATAGGAATTCGCTAGATGAGAAGCCGGAATGCATTCATTCTGCGAACGTCTGGCTACTTTCAAATTAGTTTATCCATCACATTAACTATTGATTGCACATCTTCACTACTAAAAATTAATTTATCCTGACTTCCATGTTAATCAATACACTTCTGACGACAGAACCTAAAGGTTCTGGACTCAGTCTATATCAGGGTCATGGGTACACACTGCTGAGGAGTCCCGTACTGGAACGAAGCAGCTGTCCAGTGCCCCCAGGTTTTTAACATTTCTCCAGATGATGTTAGTCCATCATGAATATTGGCCTAAAACTGCAGAAATTAACCAATGACATGGGATAAACAGCAGAAAGAAATTCAGATGTCCTCGTCAGTCTGGGGTATAACAGTGATCAGTGATTTTAGTTCTCTTTGTGTACGTACTGCATTTAAGATTAGAAGACTGTTGAATACTGTACTTTTTCAATGCTAAATTACATTAATATGCACCTCAAAACTGTGTTCTTGTATATTCTCCTTTTTTTCCTCTTCAGGGACTTCATCCTCGACGTCTATGGATTCCCCAGAACAACCAAGGAGACACTAAAGGAAGATTATATCGGGCAAATAGAGAGCGTCGATTCTTTTGTAATCCAATGGGATGTGTCTAACTGATTCTATTGTAAACACTTGAAATAACTGCCTACTGAATAGATATATGTGTACAACATAATTAAAATGAAATAAATTTTCTCTTTTCACAACCTAATGAAACCTAAATTACTTACTATCAAATGGATTGAACCACTTACATTACAGATTGTCGTTAGCATTAAGCTTTGTTTGGTATATCCAAGCATACGGCATTAGCAGGTGATAAGGAATGTTTGTGACTCAGAAGAATGAGTTTAGTAGTGTTGTGTTATATGAGCTGTTGTCTGAGCACAACTAAACCATTCAACTCAGAGAACACTACACCGTTAAAAGTATGTGGCAAGTCAATCGTATATTCATGATTGTCGTCATCTCATGGTTTAGCTAGTTCACACTGTTGTCGTCAACCGTAATGCCGCTTAATTTACTAATTAATCGCTTAGGCTTACACAAAGCACCTACTTACAAGCCTTTGAAAGTAACTGGTTGGTGCTCATAAGTTTAGTTTAACTTCATAACGTTTATCAAGGAAATGACTTTCATACCAACAAAACACGTGTAGTTATCAACCATGCTGAGAGATGTTACCACTGAACCGATCAATCCAGTTGTCCGCTTTGATTGTCTTTCATTCATGTCAGTGATAAATTTGCATAATGCGACAGAAAGTCTTCGTAATATTGCATACTAGCTGATGGTCAGTATATATATCTTTAAAATACCAACGAGTTAGGAAGACAATTTTTTGACATTTCGTGACTAGCAGTGGAAACCGAGACGTGCGTTTCATCCTGTTTAGGACTCATCAGCTCGACGTACCTGAACTCCAACAGGTGATATTGTGATGGTGAGGAACATATAAAATGTGATGTTGCTCTCACTGAGACTAGAATGCAGTACCCATCGCTTGAAACACCAAAGCGTCTTCACCACCCCATTGTGGCACAACAACCACCTCTTGTGTAATGGGCACCAGTTGTTCTGATACTTGTAGTTTCACGTTGCTATACAGGGCTAAAATGCTCGACCTCAATTGGCAGATGAGCTCATTTGTGGATGCCCTGATGTTACCGGATATTCATGATGCTATGTTGATCTTCATGACTAGTAGTGGGAACAGTATCACTCACTGGGATGCAGGTACAACCAGTTGACAAATTTTAAATAAAACGAAACGTGCATCTTGGATTCCTGTACTAATCACCAAGATCACTGTAACATGATGAATATCCGTCAGTATAGAGGCATTTACATAGGAGCTCATCTACCGAAAGAGGTCGAGCAATTTAGCTTTGTATAGCTACGGGAGATTACAAGTAGCAAAACAAAAACCTGTACAATTCACTATATGTTTTAACAGGAAATGAAAAGATATCGGAACATACTGTTCATACATGGGAATAACTGTTGTCATTATCATTTACTACTCACCATTTCTATATGCAATAACTTGTACAGGTTGTATTCCCTGAAGAAGCGGCTTTCACAAGGTTGTTCAATATAGAAAATAATATTTCTATGTCAAAGAGATCTTACAAGTATATTTCCTTGGTAATCCATTTACCTAATCCCCAACTTATTCAATTCTATTAGGCCAATTTTTGATCTTTTAGTCTATAAAATACAGTTTATTGTTTCTTACAAAAAGTTCATCATGATAAGGAAACAATGCTTACGCTGTAATTAGAAGTTTGGGTTTATAAACTTCAGCCTATTTCTGGGCAATTATTCTGTAGCATAATGAAAAAATTAGGAGTTTAAAAGGTTAAGAAAGTATTAACTATCCTAAGTTCAGGAATTTTAATTCTCTAAAACTACTTCTTTGTTATTTTTTTTATTTTTCAATAGGTAAAATGAATATTTACGATATAATGAAATAAAAGAAACAGATTGATGTTATAACACGATATTTATGATGTCATTAGTTCATATGTATTTCAGTCGCATGCCATCTTGCAGTTGTGATTTATAGGTCCAGGTGCTCAACTTTCAACCAGTGGGTTATATGAACAAAAACTCTATACAGTCTACTAGGGTTTGGGAAGCCAGGTACCATGAGCCCTCAAGATAAGGCTAGAAATCATCGCCAAATTTTATTGTGTTCTATGTGAAAGAAAATATGTCTTTTCTGTGTTCTGTTCTGTTCTACAATCACAAATTCTTTCCATTACAATTTGAAGCTTTATTTAACTCACTTTAATTTGTGGACATCAATCTTCATAAGTAAACTGTACTTACTTTCCGCCTAAGAAGAGGGAGTATAGACTAATAATAATACATGCACACTGGTTATTTACACAACGAAATATTGTTATTTAGTCATAGGAAAAACAAATGGCAATTACAGCAGTGATAATAATTTTTTTGCGATGATTAAAGGTAGTACATCAGTTAAGACATAACTCAAAGCATAGAAAGTTTAAAAAAAATTTACTTCCAGAAGTCAAGGACAAGAAAAGATTGAGGCTACTAGGTCTAGATTGAAAGAGTGGAAATATTGCCATCACATTGGTAAAATTCTGGGAGATTCCAGAAAGCTAAACAAAAAGTGAAGTACAATATACTAAGGAACCATTTAATGATAACTTTATCTGGCAAATATCAAGACAAATAAATAAAAGATAAAAATTGCAATGCAACGATTTAAAGACCATAGTAAAGAAAGTAACAGTGTATACTGCTTTTGAACACATAGCTGAGGCTTGAATTCACAGACTGCTATTGTCTTTTTTATATACAAATGTCTTATCTTCAACAATTTAATCAAACTTTATAGATTATTATGAAAGTAGTTTCTAAAAGAACTGAATACTTTGAATTCACCGACTGCTCAACGATAGAACTGGAATTAATTTTATTTTCACCTTTCATTAACGAAGTTGAAAAGTGTTTACCAGCTCAACTGATAATTAAGTGCATAACATGGCCAGTGTACTTGACTGTATAGGAACAAATAAACATATGGCTACGCATTGATAAAGCTTAGTGCATCAACTTGTCTCTCATATATTGATGAATCAGCTGATGGCATAAAAATAAGATCCAAAAACTTGAAGTTAGAGATATTTTATTCCGTGCCTTCGACAAACATCCATGCAGAATATAAATAGTTGTTATATTGAGTTTAAAATTCAGAAAAATAATTTTCTTAAGAGCTAGGTAGGATAGTTTCGTAAATTTCTTTCCTTTCATATTTCTGACATATAAGTCTGGATGGATAATTACTTCGTAATTGCGTTTTACTGAGAGTTTCTAATTCATTTTACATGGTATCACTAGAATATACCTATCTGATCTTTAATGAGTGATAGCACATAATATTCCTTTACCTGCTTAGACGTATCCAGTTTCACAGTTCATTCAGCTGCCTGTCCTAAGTAGGCTTCCTGTGGATTACCTTACTAATAAAATTTACAGAGCTACTTTCTAGCCAAACGTCTAGTAAGTTGAACAATGAGTTCCATTTGGCATCCGGTGTAAAACTAACTGAATAATTACTGTTGACAAGACTCCGAAACTGGCTTTTGATGTCGACATTTTCCCCACACTCAATAGTGTGGTCTATATATATCTGTTTACATTAGGTTAGTTGGGCGTTAAAAGTGCTAATTAAGAATGTTAGAAGAGTCAGATAGACGCTTGACTGATCAATATTTTCTATGTAAAAAGTGGATGAAATGCTCATCCTGAAACTTGAACAAAGTTACTGACATTTATATTTTATTGGCCCATTACTAATCTTGGCCAGTGGTTTACGTTGTTGAATTTTGTTAGCCCATTATTGAACAGTGTTTGAGATTATTTTTACATTAAGTCTAGTGGTTATTAGCAAAATACTTACATAAACAGCTATATTTTCATTAAGCTTTTACCTTTTTTCGGAACAATAAATCTTGCCTTCTCAGTCTTGTCTTCTGTGTCTTTTAACACTGAGCAGTCAGTATTTTTAGCGATTATTAGCTATTGTCATTGGCCGAAATGTTGTGGGTGTATGGTGATAGTTCCTCATTCCTAACAGATCAGATAGGAGTATTATTCAGTCACTTCAGATAGACTGCCTATAAAGCAGTCAGTAAAAAGCATAAAGGAAGTACCGTTCATCTTGATTGTTAGGCTTTCAAGTAAGGGTTTCACCTTTAGTAAGTACTCAGTAAGTAGTAGAAAATGTCTAGTCGTACGTACTACATGTCATTATGCATCCTGTGAGTACATACACAATTGTTATTAATGGCAAATAGTTTACAGTACTTCAATTTGAATATTCAGCAACGAAGATATGTAACTTTTCCACATCCTTAGTATTTGAATCGTAAGTCATACTGTACGTGTCGCATAAGGAGTTTCTACTGTGATAATGCTCTGCAGTTTGAAGTAATGTGAAGTCGATTCAATTCTCAGTGAGAACATCATCATTCACTGAAATGTGGATGCGTTCAGCTAATAAGTCTTAAGTAGGCCGAAACTTGCATCCTGAACTCTACTTGTAGAGACTATCTATCAATAACGTTACTGAGTAATGATTTCTGATAACATACTATTGTCGAACCCAGTATTTTCGTTTCATTCCATTTGGAATCGATAAGGTTAGTTTCTAAATATATACTTGCAGAAGATGAGATCTTAATCAAGTGGGATCAAGTTGACGTCAAATTTGATTAGTCGGTAATCGAATATACCAGTTATTTACATACAGCTGTTTTACTGTGTCCGTAATACAACTGATATTCTGGCTCGATTTACCATCCTTTCATGTGCATCCAGTTTATTTTAACATAATTCAGTTCACTTAATTCCTAACGGTAACATATCCTCATCTCATTAACTTGACTGTGATCACAATGGTTTTACTGAATAAAGCATGCATCATAGTTTTACTGATGTCAGCATCACCAGTGGCATCACTTTTCTGAGTAAAAATGCTTGATTGCTGAATAAAAGTATGCTCAGTGCGAAACCCTTCAACTACAGGTGGCAGAGACAAAGGTGTCGAAACCAGGATAGGAAAAGTAAAACAGGCTTCGATTAACCTAGAATCACTGTGGAGATCTACTGCACTCAGCAGAAAGAACAAAGTCAAGTCACTGCTGCTAAATGGTTCAGAAACATAACGCATTT